TGATGAGTAAAGTTTACCCATGTGGGATAATTAATTTTTCTTTACATATGTGTTTGTTTTCTGTTTTTGTGTGTGTGGGTTTTTTTTTTGTTTTATTTAGTTCAGGACTAATAAAGTATTCTTTGTGTAAATCTGTGAGTGAAAAAAGACTTCTACCAAAAGATCTAAGTCAAGCAGGCCTTATCCACTCATGTACCTAACCCTTTCAAGACCTAATCCTATCCCTTTCTTCTATAAAACATATAGACTATAGACTGATGCTCACAGAAACATGTATGCTTATGGCTCTGCTCCCTAGAAAGCCTATGATTTTCTGTTCCCAGCAATTGAGCTATGTTTATCAACAGTTCCTGATTTGTTCCTTAATCTGTTTAGGTCTATTGTGTGTTTTAATTGTAATTGCATAGTTTAGTAAATTATTATACAAATACATGAAATGTGAATGCAAAAGAGAACTGTAGGTTCTATATAAACTAATTTAGAATGCTTTGGAAAGTCTCAAGATAGGTCACAAAAAGGAAGTTGCTGTCAGATAGGTATGGGAGAGAAATGTTAAAGTTTAGGAAGAAAAATCATGAAAATCCTGGAAAGTTGCTCCACAAAAGTCTTTAATTCTTGTTCTGTTTTCAAGAAATGGAGAGTGGCAGTTGTAGGGGCTGCGGTTTGGTGTCGTGTGCATGATGAAGGTGACTCGTGACTTCGCTTAGAGACCCACATGAAAAAGCAAGACGGTAGCCCTCATCAATCAGCGTAGTGATGGACTTAAACATTCATGGGAGTAAAGAGAAAATGAAGTGTTTAAGTTTTGTATATGTGTCATCTATTTATTATAACTTAACAAGCCATACCAAAGCTTAATGGCTTAAAATGAAAACCATTTATTGTCTTGTTATGGTATTGAATGGTCTTCTGCTTCTCATGGTGCTGGCTTGGACTGGGAGACAGCTGGGAGGTCCAAAATAACCTCACTCAGAGGGTAGCAAGTTGGTGCTGACTGTTAGCTGGGAGCTTAGCAAAGCTTTGACCTAGCTGGGTTCTCCTTTTTGCAGCCTCTGCACCGGCTAGGTTGGGCTTCAGAAATGGCAGTCTCAGGGTAGTTGAGTTTCTTACATGGTGGCTAGCCTTTGCTTGTGTGGCCTTCTTAAGTCTCCGGACTGGAACTGGCTTTTGTCACTTTTGCTACATTCTGTTACTTAAAGCAGATCAGAAGATCATCCTGGATTCAGGAGGAGGTAGTTATGCAAAGGTGTGAACAGCAAGAGGCCAGGTTCATGGAGGGCCATCAAAATAGCAGCTATCACAATTGTTTCAATGTTTCTATTTGCATGTTTCATTTTTAATGCTTTTAATATGTATTTTTAAAAATTATCTGGCTTACCAAAAGTCCAGTGTGTTCTAATAAATCAAAGGCTTCTAATAAATCAAAGTGTTTGTAAGCAAACTTGTAATAATTTGATTAGAATTTGTATTCTTACTGATAAGTGTGGGGGCCTGGGGCTTTCAGCCCCTGTTAATCTGACTCCAAAACCCTTATTCCTTACACCATACTCCTCCATTACTGTTGTTTTGGTTAGTAGACCGTCATCTTGGCACGTAGGGTTACTGTATCACTTAAACAATGTTATTGTCAGAAATCAATCTTTAATTCTTGTAGCCTTACAGAATTAGATTCTTCAAGTAATTAAATGTTACTGTAGTTTAATAGAGTTTAGATTATTCAATTGAAAGTATCAAAGATATAATTATTTATTTAACATTCATTTATTTAACAGAAAGCAAAAAGCAGAAATCTCCCTTTGACTATTACTTATTAGATAGTAGGTTGATGATGAGGTGGGGGTGGCAGAGTGAACCTCACACAGGGGAGTACCATACTTCATAAGTTAACAAGTTTTTTATTTCTAAGGACTTAGCTAAAGAACTTTAATGAAGTTAATTTTTTTTTCCTTAGGGCTTTTGCTAAACTACAGATGTTTTTGAACTCATCTAATCCAACTTCATCATTTTATGGATGAGCTGTTTCAGGCACCATGTGGCTTACCTACTATGTCAGAGCAGAACTATTTAACCCCAAGTTACTTGAATTTTTGTCTTGTCTTCCACACATTTTTCACTTAAAAATGACACCAAACCCCCTTGGGTTGAGTTCAAGGCATACTTTTCTAAGACCAAATTTTATGTCAAGTGAATAGTACCTTAACAAAGTTTTATGTTAAAAGAGTGAAACATTGTTTTATGTGACTTGTCAGAAGTTTAGTACCAGAAAGATATTTCACATTTATATGTTTTTAAGCACAAACAAGGCCAGTGTTACAGGGTAACTGATGTAGACATTGTACTAATTTTCTCATCCAAAATAATTGGTATCCATGGAAACATTCTGAACCAGTCAGCTGACCACATTAGCTCATCTCACATGAGCTAATCCTAAATGAGATTTGGGATACTTTTAGTTAGTTAATTGAAATGATGCAAGTTCTTTTAAACTGACCACTGTATTTATTTTCCTATATTTTGTGCATAAATTTTTTTTTAAGAAAATAAAAGAAGAAACCTTTGCTTGATTTTCCCCTTCTGCCCCCCTGTACCTTCTAAGCTAAGACTCCCAAACTAAGTTTTTCTTTGGCTGCTTTTAAGATTTTTCTCTTTCGTCACTGGTACATCACTGGATGTGCATAATCAAAAAGTAGTAGTTTTATAGTTGTTCTTCTTGGCATTTGCTGAGTTTCTTGGATCTGTGAGTTTATGGTTTTCTTCAAATTTGGATCAATTTCAGGCCTTAATTCTTAAAAAATTCTTTTCTGTTCCTCTTTTTTCTCATTTTAGACTCCAGTAACACACATGTTGCACTGCCCGATGTGTCTCACAGATTACTGATGCTCTGTTTTTGTCTTAACTTTCCCTTTAACTCATTTTGGATAGTTTCTATTGCTATGTCCTCGAGTTCACTGACCTTTTCTTCTGCTGTGTCTAATCTGCTTTTAATACCACCTGGGGTATTTTTCATTGGAGCTGTATTTTTCATCTCTGTAAGTTCTACTTGAGTCATTTTTGGTCTGTTGATTTTTCTCCTGATTTGGGTCATAATTTCCTGTTTCTTTGGTAATTTTTGAAAGGATGGCAGACATGAATTTTACTTAGTGGGTGCTAGAGTTTAAAAAAAAATCCTTTAACTTTGCTCTGACATGTATTAAGTTACTAAGTTACTTGGATGGAATGTGAACCAATAACATTTCCAACAAGTTTGAATGCTTGTCTTGACTAAGCTAAGTAAATCCTAAGAAAGTATTAAATGCATAGCTTTACTTTTGTGTAATGCGTATCCTAAAAGTTATTTTAATTATGAATTATAAATATAGTGGCTGGCAGGACCACATGGCATTTTCCTCTTATTTTCTGTGCTGCCTAATGAATAAGGAGGGGTGAAATGTATTATGTTTTATCTTACTTAAACATTGTTTACAACAAGATTCATCTTCCCTTCCATATGATTCTTTGTGTTTGCTGTTAGCGTAATTAAGTATTTAGAAATACTTTGAATTAGTAGTTGTTTATTGTGTCTGTATGCAGGGATAAGACTAAGATGACTTTTTGTTTTGTAATAGATGAAGTTTTGAAAATCAGGTATCTTCCTTTTCTGAAGAATTATTAAAGGAATTTATTATTCTACTTTTATTTGAAGAGTGCAGGCAAATGAATGGTTCCATGTGGAGAGAAATAACTTGAGTCCACAGTTGGACAGCAGAACACAAATGTTCTTTTTTGTTTCTCCAAATTAAATTCTTTGCAAAAGTTAACATTTTATCACAGATACTTACTTTGACTTTGACTTTACTTGTTTTTATGATATGTACTTACTAAAAAGTGGTACTTATTTTAAAAATAAACTGTAGTGTTGAGATCATGCTGTGTTGTTAGGTCTGGGGGCTTTCCCACTGGGGTCTTGGCTCACTGAAGTTTGGATATTTTCAGTCCCTCTTTAAAAAAATTTGCTTTAACTTTTCATTTCATTAATTCATTCAGTCACACAACTGCTGGATACCGGTATAGTATTTCATACCATTTCATATGCTCATTTGATATTTTAGTATTTTCCGATAGCCTTTCATTTTTATTATTTTTTGATATTTTTTTGAATGTTCACAACTGAAATTCCTGAGATATTTTTAGAGTATTGACCTTGCCAATTCTATCTTAATTAGTCATCATCTTAGTCTTAGAAAGTTAAAGTCATGTATGCAGTGCCTCATCCAGTAAGGCCGGGACTTGGCTTTAGGTCCTCTGCCTCCTGAGTTCATGTTCCTCCTCACTGCAGAGGGCATGTTCTGAACAAGGTCTTGTTTGCTTCTTCATGTCTGACTCCATTTTGCTGTTTATCCTGGTATTCTCTGCTGTCTGATCTTTTAACTCACTAAATGTTTGTGCTCTAGTTTTCTAGTAATTACCATTCTAATACCTGAATTGTGTTACTGTAGGAAAATACTGGGTGGTTTTGAGCATGCTGAAGACTACTGGAGATACAAAAGTAATAAAGTACAAAACCCTTCTTTACCATTGATATTGTCTTAGTGGGGAAATTTATAAAAGAAAAGAGTTATAATATTGAATTAGAAAGGATTTAGAGGATGTTAGAAATGTTAAAACGGTTTACAGTGCTGTGCTGTGCCGAACTCAAAGGCGAACTTCTCTCTAAATGTTAAGCAGGTGAGTGACGATCTCAGGCTGTCTCAGTGGGTAGGTGCATGAGGACACTGACTTCCAACGCTTGTAATATGAGTAATATCAGTCGCTTAGTGAACCCTTACACTTTGATTACTCTTGTTGAGCATGCAGGTATGAAGTTGAGGTATTATCCTTATTTTGTAAATGTGCAATGTGGAGATCAGATATAATTTGGCCAAGGTCACATAGCTCCTAACCAGCACAATCAGGATTTGAATTTAAATTTGAATTCATTTAATGCATTACTGAATATTTTCTTTGCTTATTATCTTTTGTAGGCAAGAGTGCACATTGGGAGATTCAGCGTGCAAGAATTCTGAATCAGATCTAGAGGATTTTTCAGATGAAACAAACACAGAGAACCTTTACGGCACCTCTCCTCCCAGCACACCTCGACAGATGAAACGCATGTCAACCAAACACCAGAGGAATAATGTAGGGAGGCCTGCCAGCCGATCTAGTTTGAAAGGTGAGTTTTGTACTTAAAAAGGTGTGCATGAGCAGACATGGCACTTTTGGTACTTTTAGTTTTTCCGTTTAAATTTGATTTTTATGCTGCTTTAAAATGGTATCTTTTCATTTGTGGATTAACATTAGCAGAATTGTTAAGAAAGGAGGAAATAATACTTCAGAGAAAGAAAGGTTTGTCCTGAGTAATTGTTGAATTCAGTGCTGTGAGGCATTTGTATTACTTTTGGGATGAAGAAGAGACCAAGTGTGGATGAATCAGTGTAACTCATCCAGGATGTCTGCTGCTCTATGGGGTGGATGCCTGCTTTTATTCTTTGAATTTCTAGATTTTGTCTTTCAGACATGATGTATTGGGCAATTTAGGAGAGGCTGAGCCAGGCTTTCTTCCCCCAGATTCCCTAGCCAGCCTGAGACCCTTGCCGTCTGCTGGGGACCAGGAAGCTGCCCTTACAGTGTAGGGCCCTCTTTCTCACTAAGATCGATGCAAGCTGTTACCTCATGCCTCTTAACTATAGACAGAACTTGTGTTCTGCTTTTCTCTTTGTTTAGAATCCCAAGGCCCAGATGGTGTTCAGCTCCTAGAAGCTGGGAGTGATCTCTGTTTTCATTGCTTACTCCCTCCTAGCATGGTACAGCAGCTTTCTGAGGTAGAAGAATCAAGTCCTGACCTGCTCTCTCCTTGTCCCCTACTTTCTATCATGGAACCTCAGGTCATTGAAGGCTTGTAATTTTAGACTTTCTCTGTTAATTTCAGCAAACTTGTTCTAAAACTGATCTCATAGCTTCCTGGAATTCATTCATCTATTACTGAAAAAGATAGGGATTTCATTCTTTATGTCATCTGAGAGATTTCCTTGCCACATATTTTCCCTGTTGACATCAAATTTTGCATTTCTCTTTTTCTTTAGTCCATGCTCTTCCTCCTTTTGACAAGGTTCCCATCCTGCAGATTTTTCCCGCACATGACCTCTCATGGTGTTCGTTGGCAGGTTCCTTCTGTGTCCCTGTTGTGGCCCTTCCTCAAGAAAGAATGAAGGGAAGAGAAATGGATTATATTGTATTTTGCTGCTTGAGTGAAATCTTACACAAGGAGGAATTCCTAAGCAGTAAATAGTCTTTCTTTCCCACAGGGAAGGTGATTTTTTTTTACTTTCTCTTAAAACTTGATTTTCAGTAGGATATTAACCTATAGTCTATACTTATTAGTTTCTTTGGAAAACTAATAGCTTTCCATTGCAAATTGCCATCTTTTAAATCAATCCTTATCCATTTTCTGAAAGAAATTTCTCAAATGCCTACAGAAGTTTCTTAAACAAAATAGGTATTAGTGAAGTAGTATCTACTGAGTCAATATTAGTACATGTTTTGCTTTATGTGGTAAGTGGAGAAGACGCCAGTAGTACATCTGCCTTTTCTTCACTTACTGGTCCATACAGCTTTAGAATAGGAGTTGGGAGCTCAATTCCTGTTAATAGAGTGAGGAACTGAGGCCAGGAGTTTTAAAGCAACTTCTTTAAGGCTAGAAGGCTTGAGATAGTGACAGGATTATTCTCCTGGTACTCAATTTGGACTTCTTCCTAGTACAAGCAGTAGCGGTTAAACTTCCCTGAATGCAGTGCTTGAGTTAACTTGTGGTTTTTCACTGATCAGTCAGAAAATCAGTCACTTGATATTTGTTGAGCTCCTCCTGTTCTTCTGGACTATGTGGGAGACAGAAAGAAGATAGAAGCTTGTCTCTTTTTCTTACCAATTTCTTTCAATTGTATATTTTATTAAATTATTGAATATTAGATCTGGCAGGGGTCTCAGAGACCACTTACTCCAGGTCCTGCCATTTTTCGAGTGAAGAAGCAATGGCTATAGACCTTTGGACTTGTTGCTATTTAATAGTAGACCTTGGACACCAACATCCTTAACAACTTGTTCTTTTTCTTATTGCAAAAGATTACATGTTTGTTGTAGGAAATTTAGAAAATGCAAAAAGAAATAAAAATACTTATAAACCTAACATGCATAAATAACTTTTGTCATCTTAGGTAAAAGCCTGTATCAGTAGGAAGCACACAGGTAAACGGGCGGTGCAGTCTGTGTGGCAGAGCTGGGATGGAGGGTGGTGAGTAGAGGCCTCCCTGCTCCCCATAGGAGGGACTGAGAAGAGCTGAGGTTGGGAACATTCTGAACAAGTGACCTTTGTGTATGACCTGGATGGAGGCTGAGGTACGGAGACCAATAATTGAAAGGAGTGTGTGATTCATAATAATATATTGGTCCTTGGTATTTTCAAGAGCTTTTAGAATTAATTAGGTTGGTCAGGTTTATTTTTAAAGCTTTCCAAGGAAATAGTACCTGGTACATTATTTCTTTCTCACTGCAACAAGCAAAGGTTCTCTGAATCATGCTATTCATTTTAGAACTACAGTCCAAGTTGGACTCCTCTTTTTAATAAATGTCACCAATAATATTTGTGTTTTTCTGGTTTTCCATTGCTATGCAACGAACCGCTCCAAATTTTAGTGGCATGAAAGAGCAGCCATTTTATTGTGCTCACAATCATGTGGGTCAGGTTTTTCAGGCAGGGCACAGCTTACCTCTAACCATGATGTTAGAGCCTTAGCTAGGACAGCTCAGTTGGCTGGAGATGTTGTCATGGCTTGGAACCTGAGGGACCCTAAGTCAGGAGTCTCAGTTCTCCTCCACGTGGTGTCTGCTGGGCCTCTGTGGTCTAAGATGGCTCCTTCACTCGTTTGTCTGGCACCTGGGACTGAAGGCTTGCTGCATTGTTTTTTTGCCTCACCACTTTTTCACCTGACTAGCCTAAGTTTCTTCACAGCATATTGGTCCCTGGGTAATTGGATGTCTTATATGGCAGCTAGCGTCCCTCAGAACAAGTGGTTTAAGAGATCAAGGTAAAAATTGTCAGGTTCTTAAAATGCAGCTTGGGAAGCCCCACAGCATCTCTGCTGCATCCTCTTGGCTGTGCAGGGCTGGCCAGAATTCAGGGTGGGAGAGGCCGCACAGGCCTTGAGGATGAGGACGCGTGGCTCACTGATCATCTTGACAGACTAGTCCTGCCTGCATTTGCTGTAAATCTTTGGAGAGTTAAGATCTGGTCAGACTGTCTTTATGCTCTCCAGCCCTTCTCCTTCATAAATGCAAACTTCAAGAGCATCCCTGAAGGAATATATGAACAGAAAAAGGGCACTGTTTTTTGAAAGGAAATGAGAGTAACCATGAACACTTACTTTTTTAGTATGGTAGCCTTTGTTATAAACTAAGTGTATGGATATGATTCTTTATATATTTTTATTATAGACTGAGTAATTACTGTTAATCTGTAGTAACTAGCTACTATAGATTCATTTTTTTATAATTGGAAATTCCTTCCCAGGCCACTTTTTGACCAACAGGCCATGAATTGAGGGCTCCCACGAGACTCTCTTCAGGTTCTGTAATTTGCTATAATTGCTTACACAACTCAGAAATGTACTTTTGTCCCCTCCCCTAAACTTAATGTTCATCGGACTCCAGAGTAGCTGAATGGAAGAGATTCACCAGGCAAGGTGAGGCTGGTGAGGGGCTGGTGCTCAACAACAGGACATGAAGCTCCCATGCCCCATCTGTGACGTTATCCTGCCAGCCCAGGATGTGTTTGCCAACCTGGACGCTTATCCAATCTCTTTGTTCTGGAGTCTTAATAGAGCTTAATCTCCAGACCCATCCTGCTACCTACAACCCCATTCTGGGAGGTTAGGTTGGTGGGAAGTGGGGCTTGAAGTTCCAACACTATCGCCTGGTCCTTCCGTGACTTGCCCTATCCTGGGGCTGTTTGGGGCCCCACCCTAAGCTGCCTCATTAGCATTATATTTAGGTGTGATGGAAAGGAGCTCTTTGTGAATAACAAAAGAAACTCCTATAATTCAGGTAATGCCAGGGGTTTTAGAAGTCTGTGCCAGGAATCTGGACAAAAACTGAATATACTTACTATACCCCAATGTGCAGTATCAAATACTAGCAAAGATACGAGGAGATGCCAGCTTTCATACAAAACTGGTGGGAGTGCAAATTGTCTCAGTTCCCTGTTGGAAAAGCAATTTGTTAATATAGTTAAATTGAGATTGGTTAAATCTTTTATCCAGCAAATCAACTACTGGGAATAGATTTTAGAGAAGTTCCTGCAAATGGACATAAGAAATTCTGCAAAAAGACTCATTGTGTCATTCGTTGCTTGCGATTCCAAGCATGATATGCAAGTGTGTAACCACTAGACAGGGAAGTTCAGAACAGTACCTATCAAGGTTGTCTGAATGGGAGTTGACTGAGGAGAGGGGACTGGAGATTTGGGCAAATATGAGGTCACCATCCCTGCGATATTTTATTTCTTTGTATTGATGGACTTTAAGTTATTGCCACCTAGATGTGTGGAACACTGTGTTTTATCCAATGGTTGAATTTTCTTGGTTTTGTTTCCCTGAAAATGTTAAAGACACGTTTGTTTTCAAAATATTAACTTCTGTTTTAGAACTGGTGCTAAATGTGATAGTGTTGTTATGACATCCAGGTAAGGATGGTTAGCTCCTTCCTACCTAAAAAAAGCCAGCTATGTGACATGCTGAGCAGCATAACCTACCAGACAAGCTCTTGACTTAGCTTGCTGGCCAGGCTTAATTTCATACTTTGGTGAGTAACAGAATTTAGCTATGGTATTATTTAAATTATATTTTCAGATCATGGTAAGTAACTACCAAATTACAGCAATTAAGGATTTAATAAGTTTTGGACAGTAATTAGCCATATATTGCTGTTTCTTCTTGAGGTTGGTTTAAGGGAAAGGCAGTCAGTCAGGCTATCTCATCCTAAACTTTTGTTCTTTTTAATGTAGCAGAAGGAAGTAAATTGAGCTCATTTCATAGTTTAAATAGGCCGCATAAGAATTAAGCCTATTCTTAATTCAAAGCCCTTTTTAGAGTGAATCTGCCTTGTAATTATTATCAGCTCCATTTTGCAGCGGTATTAGGATATTGCAGTAGCCAGGTTATAGAGATAGAACAAATATCCCAAGATATGTATATCAAATTTGTACATATATATACACATGTATATACATATACATATATACACATTAATGTCCCTATCATTAGGAAATATCTCAAGCTCTGTGTGTGTGTGTGTGTGTGTGTTCCAACAGTAGTAAAATCTGCAACTCTTGTTTTTGAAAGAATATAGTGTGGCTATGAACTTGAGCTGGTAAAATGGTTATAAGTCAGATTCGATCTGTATAGTCAGATGAATGCTCATTGTTAACCAGAGTGGACCTAAGTCTATATTTCAACTCTTTAGTCTAAACCCAGCCTGACTTTCATGGTTCTAATTTATATTTCCAGGCTACCTACATACATACTCACTGTTCCAGCCAAGCTCTCTTCTTTTTTTGCCTTTGTGTCTGTTCATGCTCTTCTTATTTGGTGTAAAGATCCTCTTGTCTTCCTTGTTAGCCTTAGTTTAATGAAGTATAGGACTTCATTGCTCTAATGATCATACATTTAAGGGTAAAGAGCAGGCATCTGCATATACTGTCTCATTTGAGAGCCTGAGGAAAGCCAGCATTTTGAATTTGGACAATACGTGAGTGGGGGGAAATACGAATTGTAAATACTGATAAAAAAAACATTTTATATGTAATCTAAGGAGCCATTTTTAGATATGGATAGTGGAAATTCAGTTGATAGACTGATAACTCCTCAAACAAGTGAACTGTGTTGTCATTGGTTGCTTTTGGTTTCATTGTAAAACTTACTTCTTTTCCATTCATGTTCTTTTGACTTGGCAGTAATTATTGTTGATTGGCCAAAGGAAAAAGTAACTACTCCAGAAGTTCACTTTGTGCTACAAATCATGCCATTTAATTTATAGCCACTGGGGATATGAGATGTTCCATTAGACTTACTTAAGTTATTATGAACTAGTTTTGTAGTACTTTAGAACTTGTCATGGAAAATATTTATATACTTTTGATCTATTCTCCTTTTCAGAAGCTCTGTTTGTATTTGACTTTTTTCTTAATTGAAGAGGGTTTAATTTTAATAGAAAATTTGACAAACCTGTCCATAACAAACAGGCTTTTGAGTAGGAAAAGTTTTTTACTCATGTCAGAGTGGGTAAAGATAAAATATAAAGTCCTTCAGTATATTACTGTCTGAGCTTATCGGTTTTTTACCCCTGATACCTTATTACTTCCCAGATCTCCCTTAACTGACAGATCCCTTAGGGTTTCATGGAGGCCTCTCTGGTTACCACTGCCAGAAAATACTCGTGTGTTTCTTCTCTCCAGCACAAATACATTATTTAAAGATTATAGTTACTGATAAGATAGATGGGTTGGTATATGTATAGATTTTTTTTGCATGGTAGTTAGAACAGGGTTTAAGTCTGTTTTAAGTTGAAATCACATCATTTTAAAACTAAGATATATCAGTTCCCATTTGTATTCTTTTAAAACCAACTTTATTTTTATTTTGGAAAAAAAAATAGCTTCTTAGTCCCATCTTGCTCCTTTTCCAACTTGCTTTTCTTTATGCACACACACACACTGTAGATCCCCATATTAAACCATTGCTTTTTGTAAACATGAAATTTCAAAAAATTTTGTAATGCACCATTTTGTGAACTGTAAGGTAGACTGAACAATATTTATATATAATCTACAAAAACAAGTTTTTAAGGCTTGCTAACATTTGATTCTATCTGTATGGAAAAATGGGATTGTGGCATTCTTCCCCTTAAGTCTTTATAATTGTTGGAATAAAGATCCAGGCTGAGAAGCTTCATCTCTTAATATTTTCATGCTTTGAGTATTAGCTTCTTGGTGACTATAGATTTGGATAATGTTTATAGCCCAGTGTTCTCTGGTTGTTAAAATCAATCCAGTTACTCTCAGATAATTCTTTGTTTCCCTTAGAACCTTAAATCGTGGATTAGAGAAACATTTATAAATTATATAAGCAAAGTAATACTTCTTCACTGTTCTCTATTACTTTCAAATTATACACTGTATGCAGTCATTCTCTGGGCATTATCAATAATGCTACCCTAGGTTTGTTTTACAGTCTTAGGATCCTGAATCTTAAGCTCACGAATTGTTTGTGTTACCCAAGTTTTTTATTTCTTTGATGCAAAACCATTTATTTGGATACATACACATACTAGTTAGAACACCATTCTGGTCTAGATAGGCAATGGTTTTTTTCTTCACATATTTCTTGGGCATTCTTATGTACTCTCCTGGTGTTAAATAGCATCTGTATATACCAATGAATTCCAAATTGGCATCTCTATCTAGATTTTTGTCCTGAGCTCGACACATATATTAATTACTACAGACATCTCCACATGGCTGTCCCATAGGCATCTCAAACTAAATAGTGTTAAAAACTAAACTCATTATTTTTACCTCCATTTTTACTGATACTGTATATATATCATTTTGTGTTTCATAGTAATAGAGTATAGAATTACTTCAAATCTTGAAAAGTAAAATATAGGGAGTTAAATTTGGAAGTACTTGTTAGCTTTGCTTTTAACTAAACATTGCTTTACTTAGTGGAAACAAATGGTATGTATGTGCTATGTTAAAGGTGTAAAGAACATAGTTAAAGAAAACATGAAAGGGGAGGCAAAGGGCTAGCCTGGATCAATTTTTATGACAGCATTGATAAACATCTGTAGCCAGAACAATAAAATTGTGAAGAAATTTCTTGGATGGATTGTGTAAGAAATTTTAAGACATTCAGCAATAAAAGAGATTAAAACTACAGATAAAAATTCCATCATTTAAAAAATATTGCTAAGTTAAAAAATAATAGTAATGGTTTTTATATGAAAATATAGAATAATCCCTATAGACAGATAAAATCCTTTTGATGGATCATGAAGGAAATTAAATATAATATAAATCAAGTTGGAAGTGCTCTTAGGGATATTTGTTCTAAAATCTGTATTTTAAAACTAATTTAAATTGACTGGAAGGTTAGTTGGATTTAAACATTTTCTTTGGTGAATTGATTTTGGGTATATTAGTCTGTAACCGATATAAATATACCCTATTTCTTCAAATCTAAAGGCATACTGTAATGTTATGTACTAAGAAAAAATGCTTACATTGATGACAAGGTATATTCTTACACTTGGAATTTTTAATTTATTGAAAGAACTTTAATACATCTTGATTATTTTAAAACATATTCAGTTTTTTATAAGAATAATCTTAAAGTACCTTAAGGACTTTTCCCTCAATCTACTTCATTTTATAAATGAGAAAAGTGACCTAGAAAATTTCAGCTCCAAATTAATACATTTTAGTTCATGGCAAAGGCAGGAATTGGGTGTGTTTTTTCAACCATGTTTCTGTCAGATCTGCCATATTGTTTCTCCTTAAATTGAAGGTGAAAACTTGTGGAGCTTTGACTAGCTGGTAAGTGTGCTTTGGAGTGTAGAGGTAAACAACCTGCTGTAGGTTAGTAGTGGCTATTAGAGACCATAACAGTATAAGATAGCAGGGAAAATAGGTAAAATCTTTTTAAAAATTTAGAAAGAAATGTTATATATATTTTGAATCTTCTAATTTTCAGCAAATAGTAAGACATTTTTCTCCAGTAACAACCTAAAAATATAAGTACAAGTGAATATCAGTTTTATTGAAAATATTCAAAATATTGAGAGTAGCTTCATATTTAGGAGTAATATAATGTTCTTAATTTATTTATTTTTATAGAAAAAATGAATGTATCAAACCAGCCTCCACATAAAGACACTGGAAAGCCCGTGGAGAATGTGGAAGAATACAGCTATAAGCAGGAGAAAAAGATCAGAGCAGCTCTTAGGACAACAGAGCGTGATCATAAGAAAAATGTGCAGTGCTCGTTCATGTTGGACTCAGTGGGGGCGTCTTTGCCCAAAAAATCGATTCCAGATGTGGATCTCAATAAGCCTTACCTCAGTCTTGGCTGCAGCAATGCGAAGCTTCCGGTGTCTGTGCCCATGCCCATTGCCAGAACTGCGCGCCAGACTTCTAGGACTGACTGTCCAGCAGATCGCTTAAAGTTTTTTGAAACTTTACGGCTTCTGCTAAAGCTTACCTCAGTCTCAAAGAAGAAGGACAGGGAGCAAAGAGGACAGGAAAATACCTCTGCTTTCTGGTTTAACCGATCTAATGAACTGATCTGGTTAGAGCTACAAGCCTGGCATGCAGGAAGGACCATTAATGACCAGGACTTCTTTTTATATACAGCCCGTCAAGCCATCCCAGAAATTATCAATGAAATCCTTACTTTCAAAGTTAATTATGGGAGCTTTGCCTTTGTTAGAAATGGAGCTAGTTTTAATGGTACTTCAGTTGATGGGCAGTGCAGAGCCCCTCATGGAACAAAGGTCATGGGTTACTCAACATATCATGAGCATCTCCAGCGCCAGAGGGTTTCATTTGAGCAGGTAAAACGGATAATGGAGCTGCTGGAGTACATAGAAGCACTTTATCCATCACTGCAGGCTCTTCAGAAGGACTATGAAAAATATGCTGCAAAAGACTTCCAGGACAGGGTGCAGGCACTCTGTCTGTGGTTAAACATAACAAAAGACTTAAATCAGAAATTAAGAATTATGGGCACTGTTTTGGGCATCAAGAATTTGTCAGACATTGGCTGGCCAGTGTTTGAAATCCCTTCCCCACGATCATCCAGAGGCAATGAGCCAGAAGATGAGGGCGACGACACGGAAGGAGAACTGAAAGAGCTGGAAAGCAGTACGGATGAGAGTGAAGAAGAGCAAGTTTCCGGTGCACGTGTGCTTGAACCCAGACAGCCCGTTGACACCAGTTTCAACATCCAGTCGCAAGATTGCAGATCTAAGAAGCTTGAGAGGCTTGAATCTGAGGACGATTCTGTCGGCTGGGGGGCACCAGACTGCAGCCCAGAAGCAGGCTTAAGTAGACATTGTCTGACTTCTATTTATAGACCATTTGTAGACAAAGCACTGAAGCAGATGGGGTTAAGAAAATTAATTTTAAGACTTCACAAGCTGATGGATGGTTCCTTGCAAAGGGCACGTGTAGCACTGGTAAAGAGTGACCGTCCAGCGGAGGTAGGTTTTCAGTAGGCGTTAGCACGCTCTCGTCCTTGGTTCCATTGCTCCTTGTTAATTACAAGGTGTGTTGTATCGATTATTATGTACTCTCAGGGTCTTGATATTTTTACGGCTTCAATGTAGTTATTGTAAATTATAGATTTAAATGTTTCTATGAAGTTCTGTGATGAATGTGGAAATGGATCTATGGAAACTGTGTGAAATTCAGTAAATTAAGTGTAAGGTTGTATGTGGAGGAGAAAACTCCAGCCATATAAATACAGGACAGAGAAGGACAGGCGACATACAAAGAGGGAAGAAAGCCACAACCACGGGTGACCACAGCTGAATATGAATGTTAGTAAAAAAAAAGTCAACATGACACCGAAATATTTTTTTTTTTTTGAGAGGGCATCTCTCATATTTATTGATCATATGGTTGTTAACAACAATAAAATTCTGTATAGGGGACTCAATACACAATCATTAATCAACCCCAAACCTAACTCTCAACAGTCTCCAATCTTCTGAAGCATAGCGAACAAGTTCTTACATGGTGAACAAGGTCTTACATAGTGAGTAAGTTCTTACATGGTGAACAGTGCAAGGGCAGTCATATCACAGAAACTTTCGGTTTTGATCACACATCATGAAATATAAACAATCAGGTCAAATATGATTATTCGTTTGATTTTTATACTTGATTTATATGTGAATCCCACATTTCTCCCTTATTATTATTATTATTATTATTATTAATAAAATGCTGAAGTATACCGAAATATTTTTAAATGAATAAAGCACCCAGGGTTTAGTTCTTTCTCTAGTCTTTGCACAGCTTACTCCCTTTCCCAGTAGCACATCCAGTTTGGGTCACTGTATTTCAAAGAGAATGTGAATTATAGAGAGATGTAAGAATGATCACAGGCGGAAAGTATACATTGTTTGGCAGTGTTAAAGTGTCCAGTGTAAATATGGAAGTTTAAGGAAAGCCTTAATTATTGTCAAATCTGTTTTGATATGTGAAGATATTTGTGAGAGGATTATACCCACTAGAGGAAGTGGTTTGAAAACAGTACAGATTTGGTTTTGATAGTTTGATATCTCAGAAATTCTTTACTGTTAAGTTGGAAAAATTAGAAGGGGACATATTGTTGGATACCGTTCTTGAGAGTTGGAGAGCACGAGTAATTTTTCTGTTGTGGTGCGTTTGCATGTTCGTCTGGCAAACAGCGAAAGCACCAGACCTCAGAGATCCCTTACAACTGTGTTAGTCTCAGCGTCTAAATTTTAGGAGCTATATACATACACATGTGTATTTTTTATTTTAATTTTTTTAACTTTGGTTTTATTACACGGTAGATAATAAGTAGATAACAAAACAGAAGGTATTCTTTCAAGAGATGGGAAACATGGGAAGTGAACCTGAGTTTGCAAGATTTTTATTTTTAATCTGTTGGCCAGATCATGAGTCCCAAAGAGAAGGGGTCAAATGTTTATGTAAGATGTTAGCAAAATTAATCAATACTTTGTAGCTATAAGAGATTAGTTTGAGTATTATTTTGTTTAGAAATCTTAAAAATGAATTTATATGATTCTCATTGAACAGTATTTTAATGCTGAGTATTTTTATATACATCTTTTTATTAGAGCAAGTGAGTTTCCCCCCCTTTTAGTCCATGAATAACCATTTTATAATAAGATTTTATTGTAGTATAGGTTTCAAAATCCGTATAACAAAGCTAGATATGTAATAAGAATTTGTTATATACTTCAGATGGTGAATAATTTATCTAGGTGTTAGGCTGGAGTGGTTCATTCCATTGGGGAGACATGTGGCAAGACAGGATTGAGAATTAATTTTTATTGGGAAGCACTGTTTTTGAAATAATATGAATGAAAAACTTTTGACAGTATTACCTCATCTTTGATGAGGAGAGAATGTCTTGGGGAGGTGTGCCCTCCCCCAAATTATTCTCCTCTCCCCTCCTGACTCTCTGTAGCAGTGAACCATTGCTACTAACAGGAATGCTCTGCATCCCTTAGATGTGTTGGAACAATTGAGAAAGACTTCACTACTTTTTTGTATTAGAAATCAAGTTGAAAAGATGATAAAGTAACCCATAGTTTTGAATTCCCATCAAAGTTGCATTCCCAATCGAGATTTAACTGAAAACTTTATCCTTGTTACAGGAAAAAAAAGGAACATACAAATCCAAAGCTAATAAAGTATGTGAATTAAAGACTGTATGAGAATTATCTGTAGGTTGTTTGCTTTTCAAAAAAAAATGAGGTTTAGAAACCCATGTTTTAAATTTTGGCTTAAAAAATGTGTCAAGTAATGAAAGAGTGAGAGCTGAAGTAGAAATTATTCTGTATTGGAGATTAGCCCAAACTAAAAGGTAAGGTTCTGAAATTATAATTAACTCAGTGGGAAAGTAAGACTTTATTTTTATTCCCATTTCAGCACCATAGTTTCTGTAAGGGAAGGTGTATGTGTACACATGTATGTGAATATACGCATACTCCTCTTCTGGGTTTAAGTCTTTTTTTACTAAGTCTGGGGAAAGAGCTACAGTTTTGAAGTCAAATAACTGGATTCCATTTCTTGATGTGGCTCTTTATCACTACATAGCTTTGTAAGTGAATTAATCTTTCTGACCCTAAATTTTCACATCTATAAAATGGCTATAATAATACTTTCCTACCTACCTCACAGGGGTGTTGTGAGGCTTAAAAAAGATACTTGTCTAAACAGTAAAATGCTACAGAAGTCAAATATAAAAACTATTATTTTCTAAGAGTTTTTTTTTTTTTACATTTTTCCTCCCCTGAAGCTGACTGTAAGCCACTACAGGTTAGGCTATTTTGTATTTTTATTTTTAAAATGTATTTTACCTTTTAATCTCTGCCAAATAATCGTACTTTTAAGGGCATACATCTTCAGCAGTTTATGTAACCTTTTAGGTTTGAGGATAATTTTATTTTTATTCCTTATTGTTAGAAATATCTTGACCAACTGTTATCAGAGATCATGTCCAGTACAGCCTTCTCTTTTGCAATTTTCATGGCTTATGTGGTAGTGGTAATAAGTATAGTTGAATATACTTTGTGGAAAAGAAGAAATGCACTCATGATATTTGATTTTCCTTGTCTTTGTCTTTATGTTTTATTCCTTTTGATTAAGTTACTTGTAACTACTATATGTAAATAGTATGTGATCTTATATTTAATTCCAACCCTTGGCTTGTAAACATTTTATGAGAAAATTTTCCTTGAAAATTTTATTATATTTCAAAATCTTTTAAGTTAAAAAGAATTGCAACTGGTGATTCCAAAAATACCTATTTGCTGTTTGTTTTAATATCATGAATATTTTAAGTAACCCTAATGGTTTAGATAACTTTATAGCTCTCTAGCATCCATAAATTCATTTTCTCAGGACACATTGCTAATTATATACAGAGTCTCTGATTAACATATGGGTTAGTTTCCAGAGTTCCCTTTGTAAGACAGTTATTGTGATGTTGAAAATAATTGTCTAAGAGAAATTGCTGTAAATGAGTCTCAGCCCATCAAATAAAACTTACTTAAATCTAGTAACTGAACTAATAGTGCCAGCCAAAATTTTATTCCTGGCAGCAAGGACAGCATAAAGTAAGAGGAAAAAATGAGAAAGCATTTTTTTTTCTCCTCTTTTGGACCCGGAGATGATCCTTGTTCTTTTGAATGCTTATTTATTTCCTGGTTTTCTTAGTCCCTTGACATTTAGAGCATCCCAGGAACTTGTTGTTCCTTCTTAGGTCTTCCACTTTACTGTAATCCTAATTCCTCTAATCTGTGGTTGATCTCAAGTCTTTGGAATGTATCTGATAACCATTTCATAGTAACATGTCCTGGTGTCTCTCTATGATAGGGATCGTCCAGCCTCTGCATCCTGCTCCTTCTCCACCAGATACTGCTTGTGGAGTGACCCTTCCCAGCCTTAGAAATTAGTAGGAATCATCTCAGAGTTCAGTAGTTTATAGGTGTCCTTCTTGACAGTTACTGCAGCTAAGTGTGGATTTTGTTATATTATTTATAGTTCAGTTTTAGCTTACAAATTAACAGACTAGGTAAGCATATATAAAAGATATATTTTTATCTCAAAACCACCTCCATGCAGTTGCATTTTTAAAAAATAAATTTGTAATTTTGGAATAATTTCAGATTTATAGAAAACTTGCAGAGATATTAGAGTTTTCATATGCTCTTCATTAGCTTCCTCTAATATTGATATCTTAACTCTGGTACATTTGTGAAAATTAATATATTGACATTGGTATAAATACTGTTAACGATAGACATTATTTGGGTTTGTTTTTCACTAGTGTCTCCTTTTTGTTCCAAGATCCAGTCAAGGAAGCCACATTGCATTAAGTCACTGTATCATCCTAGTCTCCTCTGATCTGATACAGTTTGTCTTTCCTTGTTTTTCATGACCTGGACAGCTTGTAGCATGTCCCTGGATTTGGATTTATTTGTTTGCTGTTTTCTCATGATTAGACAGGGATTCCTGGGCTTGGGCATGAGTACCACAGTTGAAGCACCCTCATGGCATTATATTACCACTGGTGATGTTAACCTTGATCACATTCATGTGGTATCTGCTAGGTTCCTTTCCAGTTTTTCTTTTTCATACTCTGGAAGTGAGTCACTAAGCACAGCCTGTACTAAAGGGGAGGGGAATTAAACTCCACCTCCAGGAGTGGGGACTATCTGCTTGCATTATTTGGAATTCTGTATGAAAGACTTGCTGTTCTCTCCTGTTTATTTATTCAGTCATTTATCTTAGTATGGACTCATAAATACTAATTTTTTACTTAGAGTTATATTCCAGGTGTGTTGTTATTTATTTTGTTGCTCAAATTGTTCCTGCTTTACTTAGCCATTGGAGCTCTTTCTGTTGGCTTCTGTGTCCATTGGACAGACCGACAGCTTTTTTGTGTGGTTGTGCTTTTTGTTTGCTTTTTGAGATT